TAGAAGAAGACGGTTTTATAAATAACATTGTAGAGGAATCAAGAGGAAGAGATGATAAGCATACCATAGTAACAGAATGTCATTCAGTTACAAGCCCCTGAAAACTGAGTTGTATTGAACGAGGGTAACGTAAGACAGTTATCAGGAGGTCAGGTAGTACTAAAATTTGTGCCCAAAACTTGTCACTTTCAGAGCTGAATTAATAATTTTGTAGCAATGTGTGAGACAGGTAATATTTATGCAGCAAAACTTAGGAAATCAATTTCAGAGAACCTACGCACTATTTAATGAATGATCAGAACACATATTTCAACTCCTTGACTTATGGGTCTGAGGTGACACTTGTAAGCTCAATCTTGAATTAAATAATTATATTCTCCTCTTTCTCTTTTTTGAAGTTATACATATTTGTCATTGAAATATTCATATAAATGGCTCAATTAAGATAAAAAGGATGTATATGATGCTTATGAAGACAGTGATCCCAGTCCATACAGACAGATGAAAATACTGAGAATGGCACGGTGTGGTTACATAGAAATAGTGTAATGATATGTAATGGGATGTAGGTGAAGAAGACATTACAAAAACAATAACTGAATCTGAAGAGGGTTGGTTTTTTTTCTAGTTCTTTTTTCTAAGAGAAATAGGAACATCAGTGATGAGAGAAAATCATTTGATCAGCTGTAGGAGGCCAGGCAAAAGTTTTTATAAGCTTTCTACTAAACATTTTGAATGAGCAACAAGAATGAGAAAACTGAATGTGAGTTCTGATGTGACCAGGGTGTATGTTCAAGGTCTTTAGGAGAAAGGCATTGTACTATGCTGATTAATCTAGGTGTTCTAGGATTTGGGCTACTTTTGTAACCTGTCGTGTATTAAATATAGATTATAATGGTAACTGCCTTCCAGGGTTACCCTCATTAAGGGACTTAATGCATGTAGAGTTGCCAAGCATTAGAAGCTGGCTCATACCAGAACACTCATTAATAAAACATACTTCTACATACTCAACACCTAAGAAATAGAGACTGACATGGTCTTTGCACTCATGATATTTCTGTATTGAAATAGAAAGTGGAAATCATAGTTTTGTTTTTATGACATTATCTGTCATTTGGAATTTATCCTGAGATCAGTCAGCCAGGCTTAACCATTTGAGAAATTTCTGAAATGTATTAAGAGTTCTTGTGCTGCATATGACTTAGTGAGTGATTTATTACTAGTAGATGCAAAAAAATTTTATGATTTCTGTGGACATTTTTTAAGTTGTATCATTCAACAGTTTGAACAAGTATTAGTTTCTTCTATGTGCTGTATGTTGTGTGAGGTACTGTGAAGTGTAAAAATAAAAAATAAGAAAATCAGGTGCTGGTTCCTGACTTAGGAATGGCCTGGCACAGATCATGGCATTCCATGTGATAGGGGTTCTTTGAGGCTGGATACAAAGCACTCTGAGATGGTTACTGTGGAGGAGGAGAAGAAAAGGTACAACTGTCTAGAGCAGAGGTCGCCAACCGGTGGTCCACGGACCACTGGTGATCCGTGAGGTCCGAAAGGTTGGCAACCACTAGTCTAGAGGTAAGAATAAGAAGGAAATCACAGAAGAAACGTGAGCTCAGTATTGTGTAATGAGAGACATTTGACATGGTTGGTGAGAAGGAAGGACAGAAGAAGGTGTTAAAGAGAAAATTTCAAAGTACCTGCCATTTTTAGAGAACAGTGAATTGCTGATGTGTCTGAACAGAAAGGTGGTAGCAAAATAAAGGTTTGAAAAGAAGTTTAGAATCTTTTAAAGGGTTTTGTGTGTAATGAGAGTTTGTATCTTGAGCTGTCATATATATTGTCATATACTTATATCATCAAACTCTTGTTGGTTTTTATTGCCTCATATTTTTATTTTAGTTGTCTAGGTAATTTTTCCCTAAACACTTGTTATATAGCTTCTAGACTAGACGATATTTTCTTATTCACCTGATTTTTTTAAAAAATGGTTTTAGATTCTTTCCCAATTATGTTTATACTCAAAAGATGATTTGTCATAATTTAGGATATCTAAATTCACAGTTGTCAGGTTTTGGTTATTTCTGGTTACTGTTTTCCCCCTTTAAGCTGCTGGTGAAAGTGCCTCTTCTTGCATAGCCAACAGAAGATGTGTATAAAGTTCACATATGTGAAAAGTTCTGCAAAATGATTCCTATACTAATTATTAGGTAGCATAAGAAGACATATTTGGTTGCTTATCTATAATTAATTTTAAGGTAGAAAAGGAATAAGACATTTGTCTCCCCCAGATGAAGACATTTCGATATATTCATTCTGGTACTTTTAATTAAAAACAGTTGAATAGTCCTCACTTAATGTTATCCATAGGTTCTGTGACTTTAAGCAAAATAAGGAATAATGAGACCAATTTTTACCATGGGTTAATAGATATAAAAAAGTGCTAAGTTCCTAAGGTATCTCATCAGTGTTACAGAGAAACAGCACTGAACAAGATGATGCTATTGGAGCACCTGCGGTACTGCTGAGTAGTCATCACTCTTCTCTCACTTACACACCTCCATAGGACATGCTCACTGCTGTTAATTACACTTGAAGTGGTTCTTTTTTTTTTTTGTCATTTGCTAAAGTAAAAGGCTTCATCAACAAATATACATGTGTGTGTTTCATACCTGTTATGTCACTTAAGTGATAGAATGTAAGGTTTGTAAGGTATCTAACTGAAATTCACTTTAGAAATACTAAACACACTGTTTAGAAACATTACTAATCTGTGTAGAAAATAACCCAAAGAAATGCATATTTTTACAGAATAATCCAAAGTTTTAAGCAGAAGTTACGCTTTAACATTTCTTAGAAGTATTTCACTGAAATGCTTTTGGTGATCCACTTTTTTATTAGTTACCTGTTTTGATAGCCTGTCACAGGAAGTTTTATCTTAATTATAGATATCTTAAAAGGTTAATGGAAAAACTTACCATAATGCTTTGTGTATTGTCATTGGTAGAAATCTGTTAATTCTATTTAAAATGAAGTGAACATCAGTGAATAACATTAGACATAATTGTTGTTAACCTCTTCTTTAGGCATAAATGTAGGTGAGCCGTGGAAAGGTCTGTACTTAAAATCTAGGGCTAATGAGTGTCTTTTTTCTTGCTTGCTCTTTGGGTGTTTAAAGTTGCAGTTAGCCCCGGTTGTATGAAATTATTATTTTTGAATGTGTTGTGACATTGGTTTAATTGCATGAAGCTGCAGAACTAGCATGATAAATCAACACAATGAATTTTAATGCAAGGCAAATGATATTAAATTGGCTGCAGTAGACAAAGCAGCTGCGATGATTAATTTTTTCATTCTCTGCTTACAATATTCTGAGGATGACCTTGACAGTTTCTACTGTATTAGAATCCCAGTGGTGTGCACTTTAATACACTTGAGCTTTGTTGTTCTTGGGTAATAAAGATTGGTTCATTTTTAAGGTTACAAAAATTTTGTGTTATAGATGTAATATGTTGGTTTTGACTGCTTTTAAAACATTGCTTATTAATAAGTAATAACTGTAAGGATTATTTAGCTGTGGTGAAGCCTTTTTCTATAATTCTAATTCCATGGTTCCAGCAGAAGAGGAAATCTTAAAAGTAGCAAGAAGAGGAGCAATAGTTAGGTGGATGAGAGTGCAGGGCTTTAGGCTGGGTAAAGAGGTGAAGTACTCTCTGCTGGGGAACTAGGAGGGATCAGGGATAGTATGTAGAGGTGGATCAGGCACATCTCAGAATTGGGGAGCTTGTAGAGCTAGATCAAGTGCTTAGAGGACAGTCTCAACTTCGGATGGAAAACGTTGTATCAAAATCTGAGGGAAGAGGACTTTCTTCCAGCTGTCCTCATGCATGACCCATCTTTGATTTGTGAGTCACTTAGGATGTGGGGATGCTGGTCAGCAACTTAGTGAGCAGAGTAAGAGCCATTGAGGCACAGAAGACTGAAGAAGTGCCCTAGCGTCAGCCTTGTGCCCAGTGAATTGTAGCATATGACTTTTATGTAATGGCATGCCAGCAGTGTCATATGCAAGGAAAAAATAGGAAGCTGTATGCATACGAATCATTACCTTTGGATTTTGTGGAAGTGATGGTATTTTATCTCATATGCAGACTATATTTGAGTGAGGAAAATTTACTTTTCAGTTTTCAGAGTTAATCTGTGTCTTGCTTTCCCCACTCTCCCTTTGAAAGATAAACTTCTGTATATGAAGGCTAGAAGTTTCTGTTGAGGGATGCTAATTCTTTATTTATGCAATTATTTTTATCACTCCCCTGTCCATGAAAAGAGTTAAACCTCCTTGCAAAAATAGTATAAGTTAAAGGTAGAAATGGGAAAAATAAATAAGTGTATAGGTATAAAACTTGTAAGGAATGTGATGAAAAAGCATTTACTTTCAAGACTTAAATGTCTAGTACAGGGTGGAATCCACATTTGGCCACCAGAGCAGAGTTCTGACAGGCAGCTCAAAAATATGGTCTCTGAACAGCTGCTTGAGAGAAAGTATAGTTCGTTAGATAAGTAATCAGAATTTTCCCCAAGGATTTTAGTTAAAAAACAACAACAGATATTATTTAACATAATGAACAGTTCCCTGAACACCATCATTACAGAGTTTTATAAAAGACATTCGCATTCTTGTGTGGTATCTAAGATTTTGTTATATGCTTTGGTTTAGATTACATGTTAATGGACAGTTCAGTGTAGTACCTTTTTCAGGCAAATGTATTGTTCCTAATTTATAATTTGTATTAATACATATGAAAATTTATTGCTAAACAATGAGCTATTATAACACCCCTCCCCAAAACTTGGCAAGAAATTTATAAGGACTCTTAACTTATTTCAACTTACTATTAAAAAGTATTTCATTTGCACAAGTAAATATATATTTTAAAATAATTTTAATATCTATAAATTCAAGCAAGAGAATAATGTATGATGACTTTTTTTCCCCCCAGTTTAATTTTGTTGGGAGAATCCTTGGACCTAGAGGACTTACAGCTAAACAGCTTGAAGCAGAAACGGGATGTAAAATTATGGTCCGGGGAAAAGGCTCAATGAGGGATAAAAAGAAGGTAAGTTTTTAAAAATGGAGGCAAGTCTTTCTGTGAATAATTTAATTAAACTTTTGCATTCTAATAAAATATCAGGTTTTTTATGTATAAAGCACTACACATTATTTCATGTCAGAAGCATGAACATTTTAAAGGCGGTGTCATGATTTTGCCCTGCTAATTATCATTTTTCATTTAGCCAACTAAATTATCACTCAGTCCGTCTTCTTAACTTACTTTGGTCTTTATAATCGAGGAGCTTCCAATTTGGGAATTAGTAAAACTGTAATGTATATATAAAAGTATGTAACTAAAACTGGGAAAATCTAAAATATTTGAGATTTATATGAGAACAGTCAAATAAGTTTGCATGTATGTCAAATCATTTGTAGAATTAGTAAACAGAAAAAGAAGGCTTCTAACTAGCCTCAGTTTGGTTTCATCAACATTCTGTGTTGATCACAAGTTTTCTAGACATTTTACTTTAAAGTATACTGTGTCTGGTTTTTGTTTTTCATTCTACCTCTTGTTTTTCTAGTTTAATTAATAAAGACCTAACTATCTACTGTAAATACTGTTTTTAGGGAAGTTTTATTTGCCTAGTTTCCTTTTGTTGAGTGAATACTTTTGACTTTTTATTTGTGTAGAAAATGTTTGACTTGTTTTTTTTAAATAACCTAGATTTTATTGCCAATTGATTAAACTTATTGTTAGGAAGGGTGGTTGTTTTTCGTTGTTTTGATTTTTTTAACACATTGCCTCGAGAGGGCTATCAAATGACACCTGTGGTCAGCTTATGTTGCAGCATGTGCATTGAATTGCTTTGTGGAGCTCATGGAACCAACACCAGACCTAAAAGGTATTCTCACTTGATGCTGATATGCTGCTTTTCTGAGCTTCCCAACTCGTTTTGTTTAAGCTCTCTCATTGACCAAAATCTCAATCACTCTTTTCTCCCTGTAGGTAAAATAGTAGCTAAAAAGTTGGGGGTAAAAAAATCCTCATTGATATTATCTTTTAATCTTACAGCTTTTTTTTTGTCATCTGAGTTTAAAGATACTTTAGGCAAACTTGTGAGTTCCTCTTCAGTATATTTATGTGTATTTAAAACATTTTATTAGGATCTTAAGTGTTAGATTCTAGATTCTGATTCAATTAGGTGACATGCATTTTTGTGTTGCCATGCAGTTTTGGTTCCCACGCTTGCACTTAGGGTTGCATTGGCATTAAGTAGTGCTACTTTCATAGCCTGGTCACAAGGAGATGAAACCTCAACAGCTGAGGACAAGTAAATCTTCACCAAAAGACGATTGTTTCTGCTAGTTTAAAAAGCTACTGTTATCAGGCAGTTAACAAAACATGTTTTTTTCCTCTTCTCCACTTCTGTTAATTCTGTCCTGCGCTTATGGCACTGGTGCACACATAGACATTGTGGACAAGAGCTTACAAGTGTGTAGTGAGATGCGATGAGTCTGCGTGACTAGGATTGAACTTGTAGCCTGAAAAGCATTTTCTGCTCTCTTTGGCAGAAGAACAGAATGGTTAGGAGAGTGAGTTCTGCAGCCAGATCACTTAGGTGTGAATCCTGGTTCTGTCACTTCCGTTTTGTTGGACAGATTAGTTAATCTCTTCATGGTTTGTAAAGTGGGACTAGTAATGTCACTTATCTCTTAAGGTGGTTGTGAGAGTTCAGTTAGTTCTAAAACACTAGGAACTGTGTTTCAGTGTATAGTAAGTGATCAATTAATGTTAATCATTGTTCTTAATAAGTTTAGCTAACACTGTTTAATAGTACATTTTGTGTTTAAACTCATAGGTGTAGTTTTTTAAACTCTGGAAATGACAGTACTTGCTGTTTTGTGCCCCTTGAATGTCCTATATTCTCATGGCTTTTCTATTCTGTGTCTCCGGTTGTTGGTGTGTCCATATCCTGTCTTGTATACTTTGTTCTTAACCTCAAGTAGAAGCAATTCACACATTTTATTTATTTTTAATTTGTACTATTGTCTACTAAAATTTATTAAAGCTTACAGAATGTACATGCAGGATAATATTAAAATAGGACACCAAAAATTGGCTATAGATTACATTTTTAGTTTTATTAAAAGCTACAGGTGAACATACCTTGGGCATATTGAGTTAATTGGAATGGCTTCCATATGTTCGGTATTAGCATCGGTGAATGCTGTGAAGAATTTATAGATTTAGAATACTAGGAGTGCTTTATATAATCTTAATTTAAATTGATTACACATAATAAATTAACCAGATCATCTTGGGGTATGCTATAGTTTATTTATTGAGCTGTTAAAAATGTTAATAATAGTAAAGTCAAAATGGAAAGTACTACTATTTGTTTGTTGCCTGTTATTTTGAAAAAAGACAATGACAAACAGATGGAGACAAAAAGAGGTATTGATGTAAAGAATAAGCCTGGTTGAGATATATTTCTGGTACTTCAAAGGAAAGTCCATTGATTACTTTTTTTCCTATAGAGTTGTCAATTTATGCCAAGTGAAGAAAGCTAGAGATTAAATATCATTTTATTTCTTATGATTGAAATGCTATTTACTGATCTGAGTCACAAGGAAATGAAATCCTTTACTCGTCGGGTAAACTCAGTAGTTATGGAGTATTTCTCTGGTGTTTGATGAATGCCTGCCACATGGTAGGAGCTGGAAAAAACTGTCGGGGAAGGAACACATGTTTCATTTAGGTAGTACATGAAGGCATAGATGTCCTCCTGCCCTGACACTCCAGATCCCCATAAAAGATTTCGTAAATAGAGAAAATTATAAACCCTATGTGCTTTAATTCTATTGGGAAGATAGTACTGTATCTTCTAAGCTGCTGGTTTGAAGCAATGGAATGAATATGCCACTTCAAACTTTATTCTCTTGTATTGATATTACTTTAGTATTATTGATGGCCACAATAGCATTGATCTTGAATAAAATGGAACTTAAGAGCAGGAATGCAGTCGGACTTCCTGAGAGGCGTGGAAGCTTGTCTGTGCCAGTCAAATAGGGCACTGCTCATCTTCAGCAGGTGGACTGGGCTTGTCTCTGACATTAAGTATATGGTAATGGGGTCTGCAAGTAGAAGCCAGTGTCTTATGGATAGTCCTTTTGAATTATAGTATACTCTGTATCATGAATTATTCTAAGTACTTTACACACATTTAATTGATCTGAGTTTTATTATTTCCATTTTGTAGGTGAGGAAACTGAGGCTCAAGGTGGTTGAGTAATTTGCCAAAGGTCAGCTGCCAAAAAGGTAGCAATCAAAATTTGAACCTAATCTAATTATAAACCATTTCTAAGAGTGAAATCAACCTAAGAAATATTAGAAGAACTTAAATATTGAGTCCTCTAAACTTTAACTATGAAGTCAGTGTGATTCCTTTTTGGGACCACAAATAAGCTTTTTGTTTATTCCCTCAGTGATAATATATTTTGAAAATTTTCTGTGCATCATTCTTTTTATTTTCAGAAATCCTTCCTTTAGACAGGATTTAATCCCTTGTTTATTGATGGGAAACAAATACTGAACAGATTAGAGATGCTAGAGAAGTAATTTTGAGGACAGAAAACGATTGATTTTTTTTGTAGGGTGTTCTTTCTTTTTTATAGTTTTTGTAGGGGCCGCATGAAGAGCTGTGGGAAAATGTCGAAAGAATGGTCACCTTCAAAAAACAGGTGGCAGTCAACTAGTGTAGCAGGTGAACACATGGGTCATTAGAATGGAAGAATGATGTGTACACAATTAGATCCTGGATGAATTATTGTGGAGAACGGTTACTACAGTGGTGAATGAAGTACACCGTTGGAAATCTTTAGGAATGGTCTTCGTCGGGAACACTCTTTGGAGACTTTTCTTATCCACATCCATTAGTTTTCTGAGACCCCCTGTCATAAACAGGACCTAAAAGCCATGCCTGTGTTGGCCAACGGTGTTGATGGGTGAAATGTGTACAGTTGATTAAAGCCAGTTCAGTCAAATGTTGTGTCTTCTGGAAACTCCCAGTGAGACTCAGCAATTCCAGTTAGAGCTCTGTGCTTGAAGTGAAGGAATGTGCACTCAGAGGGTCATTTGGCCCTTCAGGGCTGCTAATCACAGTGCCAGATGGTAGCTGCTGCTGCACAGTGTGCAGTGTCTTACTCACACCATCAACAGCCTCAGAAGATAGTTTTACGCTTCCAGCCATGGAGGCGTGAGGAGGAGAAGTAACTTGCCCAGCCCCTTGTTTCTAAATAACAACTGCACAAAATTCAAACACATGAGACATTCAAACTGTACAAATTATTCTCATGAGATTATGGGCTTTGAATTTAATTCAGTTTTTAACTTTACATTTGTTTCCTAAATATATTTACCCATAGAGTCTCTTTCTAAAGAGATGTTTCTATAACTTCTTTTTTTTAATATGTTTTTTATTGATTAAGTACAGAGAGGAAGGGAGAGGGATAGAGAGTTAGAAACATCAATGAGAGAGAAATATCGATCAGCTGCCTCCTGCACACCCGCTACTGGGGATGTGC